GTTGCCCTTACGTGTGTGTTGTCTTTCCAGCCTCAGGGCAGATGTCTCAGGTCAAAGCACATTTCTTATCCTCTCTGCCGTCACAGCACCTAATTCAGTACAAATAAGAAGAGTATGATGAAAACTCTTCTGAATTGAAAATTTATGTATTAATTTTGGAAGAAAAGTTATAGGCTATTTTTGTATCCATTTTTAACTTACTGTGATTATCGCCTGATATAACTTATCTATGACAAATCTACAGTCATATATCCTTTAATTAATTTGATAAATTATTGCATCCTGTAATATGTTTTGATAACTCTGAGAAAATGACATAAAGTATATTAGCAAGAACTTGTGTTTATATTTCTTAATCTTTCAAGTGGGAGGCTTATCAGAGACAGGCTTGATAATGAATAACCTAAATAACTTATTTTACATTTATTATCATTTTTGTTCAGCAGCAAAGTCATAAATTCTTAAATAGTGTGGAACCAATTTTATTTTTCACACAAGTCCCTGTAACCATAAATATTAATAGACCTTCAAAATTTAATGAAATTGACTTCATGCTAGAACTTTTTAATGTGCAAAGTAGGATATTTCTAATTATGTGGCAAATTCTGAGTTTACTGACAGCTTCCTTTCGGCTGTAGACATGTTTGCACGGGTTGCAGGGTGGGTTGCTTTAGAGACTTAACTTAGAATTATGACAGATGCTTACTCTTCAGCTATACTTGTCTTTAGTATTTCCTTTTTGCATCTGATTTAGACACTTTATTTTTGCTGTTGATATTGGTTGACATCTCAGTTCTCACTGGGGAAGAATTTTTTTTTCTAATTTAATAGAAAAGAGGTGCACATCACTTAGAGGTGTTGATGCTTAAATTCAGCTTGTTCACTGTCATCAGTAAAGAATTGGATTTTGTTTTGAGACTTCAAAACAAAGAGTTGACACCACACCTCTAAGATTATTTACAAAAAGGAAGACAAGTGAATTCACTCCCTGCCCAGTAGGTTTTACACACACTATAAGTCCATTATCTATTAGATTTGCTCCACTATTTTAAATTATGAGGAAGTATTAATTATTTGGATGCCATAACATATAAGGGTAAAGCAAATTTTACACTGATGAGCAAATAAATAAATCCATAGCCAAAGATTGTTTGAGCTGAAAGGGTCTGTAAAAGTCCCTGAGAAACAGTAAACCACTATGTTTCCCTCACTAGTCTGAGTCAAGCAGTGGTTTTGCATATACTTAGCCAGAGCAGATTTCTTAGTAAGAGCAGAAATGAATATATTATCACATTTGCAAGGACTTTTCAAATTTTCCCTGTGACTTCTTATTACTTGTTACTTGCATATAAACACAGGCTCGCCTGCAGCTGGAAGCAGTAATAGAGATCTCCTTGTGCCCTCCACCCAGTTTCCCAGGTGGTAACTCTTACGGGACTTTAGTGCAATACAGCAATCAGAAAACTGACCTTGGTATAGTCTACTGATGCTGTGGGATTTCTGAGTTTTACACACACGCGTGTATGTGTTAAAGGGCAGGTTCTGTGCGACCACATACATACGTACGTTTATATATGCACCACCACCCCTGTCCAGCAGAGAGCAGTTTTTTTTCTCAGAGACACCTCAGCCACCCTTGTGTTGCCACGGCCACCTCCCTCTTTCACAATCCTCCCCCCTTTGTACAACATGGATCTGTTTTTCAACTCTATTATTTGACACTTCACAATGATACATAAATGGAATCATTTATGTGTGACCATTAAAATCAGCTTTTTAGAATTCAGTGTAATGTTCTTAAGATCTGGCCCCTTTTTTTTTT